TTTTCAATGAAATCCATGATATGTTTGACTGATTGCTGAGTTCGGCCGCAAATGTTGACAATTCTGGGTATAGTTTGTGCTATTCTTAAGCCATCGCTCCTTAACAACTTATAGTTGGGTTCGAGTATTATGTGTGCATTAGTGCCACCCATTCCTAAATTGCAAATCGCAGCCAAACCTTAATAAATAAATCATTTTTGTGAGAATAAAACATATCTTTAGACTCTTTTCCATATGAAATATTTTTATATTTTAATATTATTTTATTTACTCTAACATCATGTATTTAATGTAAGTAACTGACCAGGCACATATTGTTGTAGTTTTGAAACAGACATTAGTGGCGGGAAATATGCCGCCAATTCATCCTTCAGTTGATTGAGATTAATGTTCGGAGGAATGCATTCATTCTCATAGGATATCAACACTTTTATGATGGATGCCAGCCCGGAGCTGGCCTCTGTGTGTCCCAGGTTACTTTTCAACGCCCCAATTGGCAATGGAGTTTTGCGTCCGGGTATTTTGCAATACGCACTATAAATTGCTTTAACTTCTTCAACGTCACCAACCTTGTTTCATTTAAATTTATATATCTATTAAACATTTTATAGTATTAGGCTTAATAATAATTTTAAATACAATTAATTAACTACTATACAAATTAACTCAGGCTTAGTTAACCAGGCACTTTTAATTTGATACAATGAGGGCTCATCACACTTGGCGCTTCAAGTTATGAACTATTTTTAAGAACCAAAATTATTTGCCATAGACCTAATGTTAAACTACCTGGTTGTTTTATGAACCTCGATTTAATGAGCTGCATATTATGAACCAATTTGAAAGTCAAATTGAATATATGTTAAACCCACTGATTCTATTAAATAATAATTATTTTAATAAAGTCACTAAGCCTGGGCAATAACATGCAAATAAGCACACTATTATCTAATATCTAGATCCAAATGACAAGCTATTCACCTTGGTGCTGGTGAGGTGTCCCTCGATATAGGTCACGTCCAAAGGATTAATGCCCGCGTCGGCCACCGTATCGGCAATGAGCTCCTCTTGTGCGGCATCTGACGGGTGAAACATACCGTCCATTTTGTATCCATCGTTGTTCACACGGACCGCACGTATGGCGGCGTAAACGCGTCGCGCGTTCGCCCGTCTCTGCAGTAATAGACAGCCGACGACTTCGCTCTTCACGTAACCGTCGGCCTCCCTGTCCAGTGGGGCCGACACACCACGCGGTGAACACATACCTAACTCCTGAAATAAACGCATGTTTGACTGGTCCAGTTGCATATTAGTGCCCACCACCAGAGCCGTGTCTAACCGACCTGTATCATTTAGTTTGTATATAATACATACTGTATATAACTTATATTATTTATTTATAGCATTGTCAAATACTTATATAAATGATTTTAGTTTTAAATTATATTTTAAGGAATCAACTATTTTGCCAGCACCTAGTTCTCATATTATTTCTAGTGATGTTAAAAACTAACAAGTAAGTAATATAAAATACAATTAATAAAATTGCCAAATGATATAATTAACTAATTAATACTATTGATATGTGGGGTATAATTTTAGAAATTATAAAATGTGATTAATTTTAGCAAAAATTGTTATTATTTACATTTAGAATTGACACTAATATGATAGTTTGTTATAATGCACAATGTAAATAAATGAATCTATCTGATGATAAGGTTAGTTTCATTACTGATTAAATTTTTATCAAGGTATGCAAATTACTTTATGATTAAATATTGACAATGGTTAGTTGTGGCAAAATATTACGTAAAATTTTAATTGTATTAATTCAGCTAGTATTGCAGTGTTAAATGAATAATTTTAGCGAGATCACCATGATCATGTACGTACCGGCCATTATCTGGATGTAGGCAAATTCAAAAGCGGTGGCACTGGACGAACAGGCGGTGTCCACTATCATCGACGGGCCCTTCAAGTCAAACACAAACGATATACGGCTCGCGTAGAAAAGGTTTTGCTCGCATGTGCTCCGGTAGAGGTGGGACTGTAGGTTGCCAGGGATATCCGGTTGAAACATATCCGTATTGATGTGTCCAATGACAGACATGTCCATAGCACCCACATAAACTCCAGTTTTAGTTCCCCTTAAATCGTTAGGGTTGACACCTAGTACACGTTATAATAATTGTACATGTTTAATTTTGTCATATAGAACTTTATTATATTTTTTATAGTGGTTATATAATAACTTTGGAATATTTAATAAATAAAATGTAAATATTATTAAATTTTTAAATAGTTATCTAAAAGGATTTTAATTTTAACAAGCTTATATTTTAATATAGTGATCTCGTTATTAATATAACAAATTTTTAATTTAACTAAGAAGGAATTTCTCGATACAGAAAGTTGGCAATGCTAGTATAATTTGTATGTACATAAACTTTATCATATGTTTGATAAATATGCATGGTCAAAAAGTGCGAATTCGGGCGATAAATTGGTCATTTTTCCGATCAAGAAGTTGGCTGACATGATCATTTTTATATAAATCAACATTATTTGTAAAGACGGTATGTATTAAAAGTTTAGACGGCACTCAACCGTATAGTAAGCACTTTATATGTCGCAAACTTATCCGGCTAATGTATGCGTATAATGCATTAATATATACAGTATATATAGTATTCAAGTACAAATGGGTCATGTCAGCCAACTTCTTGACCGCAAAAATGACCAATTTATCGCCCGAATTCGCACTTTTTGACCATGCATATTTATCAAGCATATGATAAAGTTTATGTACATACAAATTATACTAGCATTGCCAACTTTCCGTATCGAGAAATTCCTTCTAAAATAAAAATAAGTATACACATAAAACAATAATAGATTTTGTGTATTTTGAATATGGCAGACATACCGGCGTCTACGATAGCCTCGTACACCGTTTCCAATTGCATAGACCCCTGGGGGTCCAAGTTATTGACCACTGCCTCCGTTAGACCAAAGAATGTCGAATCAAACCGATTGTAAGTTAATATCTTTCCGAACCTATTGTTCACATTAAATATGTCTGAAACCCACAAAAACATTATTAAAAGTATTTTAAAATAATTATTAAACTCAAGACACTTGTCATTAAACAAAACATATGACAAACCTGTGGGCCATCGGGTGTCGTCCTCCGTAACCATATCGACGCCGGCAAACAGATTGCCGGCGAACTCGTCGGTGGTGTCCGCCATCGGGAACCGACCGGACATACCAGAGATCACCACATCATCCACAGACATATTTCTAATATTTTAAGTGATATATTATTTATACTTAAAAATACAATTTATTTTCAAATGTCAATAATTTTTTCACACGTATTCAATACGATAGACACTGACGAGTAAGTACTGAGTGGTATAAAGTGGGCTAATATATATATATATATATATATATAATACTGTATATATGCTTAGTTACAAGTATTACAAAATTATAGTTGAAAAGATGTAATACATCCATGTATAAAAGGTTTCAATCAATATAATGTAATTTTATGTAATAATTATGAGGAGAGTGCAGAAATTCAACATTAAAACTGATGACCGATAAACAGGGATATCTATAAGGACCCATTAATACAGAGATGCAAATCTTTATTTAATTACTTATTATACCTTAAGGTATATAAAGTCAGTCAAGTGAATCTGCAACAGTGCAAAGATTGCTAATGTTAAAATCATACTAAGGTAGTGGGGATACTATACTTTAATAATATCAAAAAATAATTATTAAAATATATCGCATGCCTGCCTACAGTTTAACTTTGAATGTGGTAAATTCCGCCATAGACCCTCATATGTTTGCTAAATAAAATAAAATGGTTTGTGCTTATCATAAGCGCTAATAAATTCAAATATCACTAGAACAAAAATTAATTTTTTATACTAGCACTTTCTTGTTTTATAAATTGTTTTATAAATTCAAAAGGTGCATTATTTTCTCTTTTTATTGATTTTTATAACTCATATTAACCACCTAAAATTTATATGTGTGCCAAAGTATAGATTTTTGCTACAATTAATAAGCGAGCTATTAAACAAATAATCGTCGCAGATTCTCTTGACTAACCTTATATCGTAATAATGTAAAATACGGTAATTCCCGGAAAAGTACCTAAATAAATTTCCATTTTAAATAAAGATTTTTGTATAAATAGCTAAAAATTAAATTGTAAGTTAAAAATCCAGGGCAATTGTGTATGATTATAAAGATTAATTTTAAATTGTTCATTCAACTATCAAATAAACAGGAATTGTTAGTACTGCTATAGAAACTACTGCTAATTATGACTTGAATTTTATTAATAGATTGAAATTTTTATATTTTAATCATAATTAACATTTACTTTCAGTTTTTGAAATAAACATTATAAATACATAATTTCAATGTCATTTGAAAGTTATAGCAAAATACTTGTCATTTCATGTCATGTAGGTTCATTAAGTTTATTGGAAAGTTTATTTACTAAAATTATCTACCTTAACACTTTTAGATTATAAATACTAATCAAAAATTACTATCGGGTGTCCCATCGTATCAGTAAGATTTCTAAATTAATTTTAAAATATTTACAATTATATTTTGTTAACAAAAACTATACCAAAATGTTGGAAATTTATTANACATTTTGGTATAGTTTTTGTTAACAAAATATAATTGTAAATATTTTAAAATTAATTTAGGAATCTTACTGATACGATGGGACACCCGATATATGAATATAAATAGTAAATATAAAATATATAGCAGTTTTAATTAAACAAGTCAATGTATGCTAGTTTTAAACTGGTTTTATCAAAAAACAATTTAATTAACCTTGAATTACTCATTTTCTCATAATATTAGCTTTACTTTTTGCGGTACTTTATTTGAGACTTATGTTTCATTTATTATACGTAGTCCTGAATTGATAACTATTTACTAATTATTGGTTAGATTTTTGTCTATAATTAACATTTTATTTATTGAATAAAAAAATCCTTAAATGCCTAAAGCATTATGCTATAGTATCACAATATGAGAGGGAACATTCTGAATCAGAAACATTCTTAATTAAAGGCTACCCTGTAGTATTCAGTGAAATACCTGAGTTTACAGTTTGCTTGCACAGACACATGGAATGATTGAGAATGTTCCCTCTCATATACTGAACAAACAATCATATAGAGACTCGATAACGATCAAGTTATTCCGACTAAAGGTAGATGTCATATGCTGTATCTCTAAGGGGCCATTCAATAAGTACGTACGCAAAAATTTGTCTAAAAATTGACCCCCCTCCCCCCGAAACGCCCCTCGTACATAGGACTTTAACATTGTGTACGCATGCCTTGG